GGCGTCGCCCAAGCGAGGGCGGGGCCAACACTCCATTCCCGTTAACAGAGCATTGTACTAAGTTCGGGGTACAGTCCCGAATAGCGGAAGCCAACATCTACATTTTATAACCAACAAGGGTTGCCCATCGCATACGTAATCAGAAATGTTTACTTGGTTGCAAATATTGAACACCCACATTCGACTTGCATTCCAATTCCACTTTACGATCACAATTTTGTCTGTTGCGAGGAGGGCGCAACTAAGCCAAAACGTAATCGTAGCTTTGTCCGTGTTTGTTCATGTCCACTCTATGCACATATTCACGCAAAGCATTGGCAAGAGCTTCACTAGCTAAGACTGCATTACAGAATGTTGGCAGCAATTGCTACATTATATGCAAGTCTGCCTAGCACACAGACAGGTCGACTTGAAGCGCAGCAAAGTTGGCGACCTGCCAGCACTGCAAGTCCGGACCGCTCCAGCGCTGCAGGAAGGCGGTTTGCCAACGTTGCAAGTAGACGGTGTGCCAACGCTGTAGCAAAGCGGTTGTCCAACGTTGCACCCGCATGTGATAGCACCGTCACGTGCACGGCGCTTGTGCCAAGTCGGACGTGTCGTTGGCCGCGCCTGATGAGCCACGTCGACCTTGGGATTCCACAAAAAGGGCGGCTTTGCCAGAATCCCCTGGAAGACGGTCGCGCACCCTACAGAACCTCGTCGCCCTGGTAACTTGGTCGACCCGGAAACGCAAAGTCGGTGTCGACTTGCGTGGCAGTAGTCGACCAACTGTTGTACGGGCTCGGCGGCAACCTATGTCGTCGACCATCGATCGACTTCACCAAGTCGGCCATTGTGCAGGCCGACGAACTCCAAGTCGACCACACCAGCTGTCCGCCGACTTCTCCAAGTCGGCTTTCACAGGTCGGCGCCCTTCCCAAGTCGACGAGTCCCTTCGCGGCCACCAAGTGAACTCGGCCACTGGCTTCCCGTCGTTGATGGCTTCGCAGTGGCCCCGTGCAGGTCGACCAAGTTCGTCGTCTTGCTTGCCTAAGTCGACGTTGCCCACTTCAATCGGTCGGCTGCAGCTTCCGCACACCCGACCAAGAAGTCGGCTCCGCCCAAGCGAATACGGGGCCAACTCTCAATTCCTGTTAACAGTAATGGGCACTGACTGTACCACAAGCCCACGATTTGCCAGAGCATGAAACTGTTGTTGCTTGATTGTCTTCTGATGACGTTGCATCGTTCTGCAGCTGACTATTTTCGTTTGGTCGGAACCAGTGCCGTCCTTTGGTTTTGGGGTGCCCGAACCTGGACTGTCGTTTCGTTTTGGGCCCCCCCGGACAAATCAAGGGGGCTGGCATGTACGGCCCTGTATTTAACAGGGTCGGGGCGAATCTCTGCCCTTTAGGCTTCATAGATAGAGTTTTTTCCTCCTTTAAATCAGGTATGCCGCGGAGAATTCTGCAGCCTCATTTCAACCACAAAGCTTACACTCTGCAAGTGCTACAACAAGGTCGAGTTATATTTTTGGCCCAACTACGCAAATCCAAATTTGCCAGATTGGATGCAACCACGATAGAAACGGGGGGGGGGGGGGGGGGGAGGGGGGGGAGGGGGAGTTGAGAGGTGGGAGGGGTGGGGGCTCAAAAGTCTTTGTTCTAGGGCTCGCCTAAATTCGACCCTTTACACACCAGGCCTAAGACCAAAATCAGCCCTGTGAGGAATCAGGGCCAGACTCTTTTCAACCATTTTCAGATTTCAAGGTCAACCCAGCCCTGGAATTCAAGGTCCAACAAGGCAAACGCCCTGGTAGCAACATCCCTGACCCGGACAAATCAGGGGGCCCGGCATGTACGACCATGAGTTTCGCATGTCCAGGGTTAATTACAACTATTTAGGCTTCAGGGTTATGGTGGAAATATCCATGTTACACAGATGACACTACACTACACACACCATACTACATTGTAAATTTGGTCAATACCAGACAGCATTGAAGACCTCGTGTATTCACTAGCATTTCCATAGTCATAAGCTCATCTAGCATTTTCACAGTCACACTAAAGGAACATTCCTGTGTGAACATTTGTGTCTCAATCATTTTGTGACACCCAAAAACATCATAAACTGCATTGCGCCCCATGTTTCTATTATGCACCGCCTACTGAATATTAATGCAGGTTTGAGCACGATTCATGCGTCGTGGTAAGGGAGACAAGCTCTAATTGTGAACATCATGAATCAGGGCTTGAAATTCTGCAACCCATCAATTTCAGGCTTCAAGAGAAACTTAGCCCTAGAATACAAGGGCCAGCAGGGCAAACGCCCTGCAAGCTGACAGCTGGACGAAAGTGTCAGGTTTGACAGGATTTTATGGGGTTCCATTCATAAAGGCTACGTTCTGCAGGCGCATTAGCCCGCATCAATGTACATTGCAATTCTTTGGCGATTTGCCAGGAGCCTTCCTTGATAACCAGCCGAAAGGTTATCAAGGCTTGCGATAAGCGCTTGGCTGCCGAGGCAAACCAAGCCCGAATGCCTGCAAAACGGTCTTTCTGGCAACCACAAATTTACATGTTGCCGCTTTTCGAGAAATTTATCGTCCTAGCAATCTAACGATCGCTTGATGCGCGCATGATGCAACGCCGAGAAGACGCATGATGCGCGCATCAGCTTGAATTGGGCAATTGAACAGCGCATCATGCGTGCGGGTAAGGCGTCAAGTGCGTGCTCTCCTGCTTCGAAGAGCCTTCAGCACCCTGGAATTCCTCGGAAATTCGAGATCGAGATTTGACATGCCCGAAATTCGAAATCTCCAATTTCCGATATCCCGAACCTCCATCTCCATTTTCCAAACCTCTATTTTTCAATTTCAAATTCCTCATTCCCGAACCTCAATTTGTCAATGGGTGGGTCAGGCCGAGCCTAGGGCGCATCAGAGCTGATGCGCCCACAGAACGCAGCCAAAGTCAACGCTTTCACAGCATCGCGTGGCACATCGAGTGAGATGGGAATACTACTACAGTATTTGCAAAACCAACGGCCAACATGACCAGCTTTTTACTTTTGAGTTGACTAAAAAAGGGTTGACTAAAAAAGGGTCGACTAAAAAAGGGTTGTCCAGAGGACGTGGCCTATATCGCCTCTGATTGCCTCGATCAGAGGCGGTCAATAACTTCCAGGAAGCCCTTTGCCGATTTCAAGCAATCAGGGGCAATCAACTGATCGCGATCAACTGATCGCCCCAACTCATTAACCGCTTCAAACACCCCAATACATAACGATCACACACAATCAGTCACGATCAGTTGATTGCATGCGATGGGAATCCTGGCGACGCTTGCGAAAACGTTACGCTTTCTCGTTGAGCTCGTCACACAATCGCGCAAACATTATCTTAAGTGTAATTTGCGATATTACGTGGAAACAGAAAATTCGCTACGTCTCGCTTTCGCCAAACTTGGGACGAAAGAATCAGGAAATGCTGACACGTTTGCGAGGCAGGCGTCTTGAGTCTTTTCAGGAATATCAGCACTGATCGGGCGGCGCGAATAATGCAATCAGAAGCAACCCGATCAGATCCAACCCGATCAGATAAGCGCCGGTCGAGGCGGTCTAAGCCACGTCCTAAAAAGGTTGTGGGTCCCACAACGGCCTCTCATGACCAATTTTTGTGTGTACATCTGATGCCTATTTCAGTCCCGTTCCCATTTCCCTGTGCTCCTCTCTCGGGCACGTGCCCGCTAGGGGCAAAATGGGACTGAATGTAGAACAGTCGCTATAATCATGGGTAGCCCAGCGTGTTTTGTCTGGGAAGCTCGAATACAAATGTTCTCGATTAGAGTCCACGTGAAAAACACGCGCGCTGCGGGCCTTTGTGGAAAACTCACAAACCCCGGGCAAAAGGGAACTTATAGTCCCATATAAGAACAATTGCATGAAGAGAGATTTTTCTTCGCTACTATTCGTGTTTTTCTGGCACATACGTACATTCGGACTACGCTGTCTTCAACTTCTCGTCGCACGGTTCGCCGCGTTGATCAGTGTCGCAGGACAAACAGGCAGAAAAATACAAAATAAATTATTTTTAAGGCCGAAAGGAAAGACAACATTTTGTTTTACACTGTAAGCGAGATTAATGAGGTGGCACCGTCGGAGCTCGCGGGGAACCGCGCAACAGGATTTCGACACATGAGCGGTCAAGATAAACAGACAAACACAATGCAAAAAAAGAAATAGTGAATCAAAACTTCCTTTCGTTTTAGTTTCTCTAAATGTTCTGACAGGTTCGATTTGCGTTCTCTGATTGGCTGTGGAACTGATTCGTGCAATGATTCAGTCAAGATGCAAGATTTCCCGCCAAAAATGGGACTGTAGAGGAGGGGATACACCTAGGACTTATGTGAAAAATCTATTCGTTGAGGAAATGGGACTCTTTTAGGAAGGGCTTCTAAGCCAGAACATCTGTAACTTATTCAAGTTCAAGAGTATATTGGTTTTGTCGTGGGCCAGTAACGAGCGGGCCGTTGGCTATGAATGTCGACCATTGGGCGTATGGAGTAGCAGGAGACGTGTTCAAAGTGGGCAGTTGAGTGAGCATCAGGGTGTACTGTAGTGGGACTATTATGACCAACGGCCAGCACAGTCAATGTTCCTGTCGCCCCGACAGCAACTGCCGGGCACATATTATTACAACCCGGCTCATAGGTAGTTGGGACTCGGCGCACGGGTACAAACATGTTATTACCTGTACAACCAGACTAGGTAGTTGGGCCTCGGCCCCTCGGTCCAAACGTGGTATTTCGTGTACAACCACTGGTTGAAAAGGCTTGGCGGTGGGTACAAAATGTCATGTCATGACGCTGTTATCGCAAACGAGATTCGGTTTGAGAATTCACGGCTCTTCAAAGCCACAGCAACTTCTAAGGTCCCCTCGTTCCCAACGTTGTTTCGAACTAATGACGCAACAGGTGGCTTACCCTGTCGATTTCAGTTTTTGGTGCCTCTTTCCATCAATGGCGAAGGGCGGCCCCTTTGCCCCACTCGACGGTGCCCGCAGCCCCTTTTCCCTGCTTGTGTTCGCCTCGATATGCACCGCGTTCACTGGACTGCAGGACGTGTTCCTGGCGGCGTGGCTGCAGCAGCTGCTGACGCTCCGCTTCTTCTCCGCGGCGCGCGTGGGCGACCGGCCGTGGCGGGACGTCGTTGCACTCACCGTCGTCGTTATCGCAACGCAGGTAGCCGCAACATGGTAGTTGGTACATTGGTCCACGCAGCTGGCATCTGGATTCAACGCACACCACAAGTTGTGCCACAGTGGTGGCTGGGTCTCATACTCACCCTGGTGATGTGCGTGTGTGCGTGTGTGTGCATGATGTGCGGCACGTCCCCACAGGCATGCGGCACGACAGTGGCGTACGGAAACTACACCTTGAGCTTGGCGGCCAACATCGTCGCCTCCTGCCATGTCGCGGTTGCCAACGTGCTGCCATGTCTTGCTGACTCGCTCTTCCGCTTCACCTACAGGTGCGATGGAGTGAGGGAGGAGCAGCAGCGTTTGAACGTGTTGGCTTGTTGTGACAGCGTGATGGCACTAGTTTTGAGGAGCCTAAAATTTGCGCGTGATGTCTATCTCGCGCTGACTCCTCCTCAGTGTCCTTTCCTGTTTCCACCTCAGTGTCCCTCCTCCCTCCCTCTCTCCCTCTCTCCCTCTGTCCCCCTCCCTCCCTCTCCCTCTCCCTATCACCCTTTGGTCCACTGCCCACCTCTTTCTACTCGCTCCAAAGTCACTTCTGCCCTCCTGCACCCCTCTCCCTTTCCTCCCGCTCCCCTCCCCCCACCGCAGGCGCTCACCACACCTGCATCCGCTCGTCTTCCCCCTCGTCTCCGCCTCTATCTGGAGCTTCCTCTCGCTGCTCTCCCCCTTTGGCGCCTTAGCCCACCCGTTCTACTCGCTGTGCACCCTGCTGCCGCTCGTGCAAGCCACGTCATTTGTGGGCATGGATGGTGTCCTGCTGCTGGTGGACTGGTTGGTGGCGGGTATTCACCAGATGATGTGCGAGGGGGATGCGGCGGGGATGGGCGAGGAAGGGTGGAGCCGGGGTCGGAGAGGGGGTGGGAGTGGGGGTGAGGTTGGGGAGGAGGGGGGCGGGAGAGGGGAAGAGCATATGAGGTGTCCTGGGGAGGGGGAGAGGGAGAAGGGTAGAAGTCAAGTGTTTGGTGAGGCCTGCAGCGGTGTTAGTGCAGTGAGGAATGGAGTAGTAGGAGGAGAAGGGGCAGGTGCGGTAAGGGGAAGAGGTGCAGTTGGGGGAAACAACAGGCTCGGGGTAGGCAGCAGCGGGAGGGGCCATGTTGGAATAAGTGTGGCACTGCTGGTGGTGCTGATGGCTGCCGGGTCAGCGCGAGAGATTGTGTTCTCATCCAGGTACTATTGCTGCACTGCCAACTCTCACGTTCTACTTCCCTTAACTAACTCCCGTCATTTCTCCCCTTCCTTCCTCCTTTCCCTCGCAACGTTTCCAAATTCTGCATCCGCCCATCGTTTTTCTATCTTTTTTAATCATCCATCTCCAAGCAGTCATGCTCCCCAATCCAGAAGGAATTAACGCCCCTTCCCTAGGCTGGAAGGGAAATGACTAAGTGCCTTTTTCTTGCTCTTTTCTCTCTCTCCTTCTCTCTCCCCCACTTCCGCTTCCCCTCCCTCTCCCTCTCCCATCGTCATCCCCTTGGTCAATCCCCAATCAGATTCTACCAGCAGCTGGTAGGAGCACCCATCATGCCCTCCGTCCCTGTCTCCTGCATCATCCTGCAAGCCCCCACCGAAGCCATCCCTCCCAGGGATCCGGAATCGATCCACCTGCTTTCTGCTGCTGCTAATGCCTCCACGTCTTTGCCCACGCTCTCCGTGCTGAAGGGATACGGGGGAGAAGGGGAGAAGTGCAGGGGGCAGGGAGAGTGTCAACAGGGGCGGAATGGAGATGCAGAAGGGGCAGTATATGCAGCAGCAGTAGGGGAAGGAGCAACTGGAAGAGCAAAAACAGCAGATGGGGTAGGAGAAGCAGCAGCGCCGGCGAAAGGGACGTGGGAGGAATGGGAGGCGCGGCGTGTGTCAGGCATAGCACGGGTGATGCAGCAGACGCAGCAGAGAGCGAGTGCAGGCGATGCGTTGATCCTGTGGTCAGAGGCTACAATCATTCTGCTGTACGACCATGAGGAGGACAAGCTCCTGGCTGACCTCTCTGCCTTAGCCATCGCTGCCAGGGCCAGCCGCACTGCCGCCGCTGCTGGGGATGCTGCAGCTTCACCAGTCCTTGGGCCATACCTGGGCGTTTCATACGTGAAGGTGCGGGTTTGATTTCCATAACAGCATGGGTTAAGAGGTGTATGTGTGCTGGATTAGCTTTGACACGCCTTCTTTTGCCCTAAACTCCCCCTCCCCTCTCCTCCCCTTGTCTGCCTCCCTCACCCCCAACCCCTCACCACATCGCAGCTCATCACCTTCGTCCCGGAAATCTTCATCAACACGTTTGTCCTCATCGACCCCAGCGGCGCCCACATCCTGCACTACAACAAGTCGCACCTCTTTCCCTCTGTGGAGGCGGACGTCCTGCCGGGCTCCGGCTCCCTACCTGTGGTGGACACAGAATTAGGGAGAATGTCCGTGGCCATCTGCCTTGACATGCAGTTCCCTGCACTCATCCGCCAGGCCGGCAGACAAGGGTACGTGCATGTGTGTGTGCAAAGCCCTGCCGTGTCTTCTTGCATGTGGTGAATCTCTGAGTGGTGATTCCAGTCTGAGACTGCCCTTCGTCTCAAACTGGCATCACCATCTCCCTCCACGTGTGGAAATCTCCCCATGGCCATGGGGAGCATAGACCCATGACGTAAAGGAGTGCCAGCGGCCAATGCATTCAGTTCCATGCTAACCCATCCCCACTTGTCTCCCATCCCTAAAACCACCATGGCCCACCGCCTCCCTCAGAGTGGACATTCTGCTGGAGCCCAGCTGGTCGTGGGGCGCCACAGGCCACCTGCTTTCTGATGGAGACGCAGTGAGAGCGGCAGAGAATGGCCTCACTCTTCTGCGTTGCTGCTCCGTTGGGGTTTCAGGAGTCGTGTCTCCTCACTACCGCACCCTTGCTGCACGGTGCGTGCGTGCTGCTGCTGTCACTGTGTCTCTTGCTGCTGGAAGATTATGCCTCAAAATGAGCCATCGCAAACCTCCTCACCCATTCACCCATTCGAACGCATGTTTATTAGTTTCCGCACACATACAATCATTCCCGTTTAGTCATTTCCGCAAACATACAACCATTTGCCCACCCATTTATTCATTTCCGCACACATACAACCATTTTCCCACCCGTTTATTCATTTCCGCACACATACAACCATTTGCCCCACCATCCCTTATTCACTCTGCTTCTTGTGTCTGCCCCAATCACCCACTGTTCTTCAGGGAAGGGCTATCTTCTGGGACGCTCTCAATGAACCTGCCCCGCCTGCCCCATGCCCCAGCACTCTACCCCTTCATTGGCCTACCCATCTCCCTCCTCCTCCTCTCCCTCACCCTCCTTGCAACATTTCTTGCCGTTTGTCCCGCCCTTATAAAATTCCTTTTTGTCACCCCACCCTGCTCGTTGCTGCCTCACCCTCTCTGGTTGGCTGGGCAGCAGGGGGAGGGGGAGAGGGAGAAGGGGCAGAGCAGTGGAGAGGGTATAGATAGTGATACATGATGAGACAGGGGATGGATGCACTAGTGTGAAGTTGAAGAAGAGGCTACTTACAAACTTATTGTACTTTTGTTTGTGGTGCTTCAATACAAGATACTACTATCTTAGCCATATCAGTAAGGAAAGGATATAGAAAACCCATTATTGTATCAATGAGCGCACGCATGTGCTTCTTTGTTGGATTATCCGGTATGGAATGTTCTTGACAACCACGCTGACTTGCACTCAGACTTGTCCATTACTCGGCTATTCTCAGCACGTTCATGAAGAGCCCAACCTCCTTGCGTTATGTTGCTGCTATAGCCATATAGTATTAGTGCTTTTTGGGTTGCGAAGCAACCTATTACGATCTTTATGTACAATTTTTTTTTTTCATCCTCTTTACTCAATAAAGGATGAAAAAAATCTAGTGAACGGTAGCTACCGTAAGTGAACTGACTGACTACTATGTATTTGCCAAGTCAATCTACCACGTGCCGAACCACATTCCTTCTCATTTCCTAGTCTGCTTTGACTGAACCTATATTTCATGAGTTGCCAAAATGATGTACTGTAACTGTTTATTCCGTGATGCATATGCCGGATGATGTTATGCGTAGATGAAGTAAATGCAAAATGCATAATTACAATGCATGTGCTACTGTGGTAGCATGAATGCATAGGGTAGCATGATGGAAATGCGTAACAGTTAATTGACCCAGACTCTATGCTACCGCATCTCCTGCCTAGCATGGGGGGGAACTCAATAGCATAGTTCCTGAATCATCCAACTGCCACATGAAACAACACAATCTGTGTGCTCTAAAAAAAGGGTCAATTCTATCAAATCCAGTTCAAATGGACACACTCACTGAGTGCGCAAAGAATCGTCTCGGAAAAGATAGTTTGATCCCAATTTTTAAAACCCACAGACATGTATTATTAATGCGATGGAAACATGAATGAAAGCACATACGGTACGCACACAACACAACGCATACACATGATCATACACCTTCAGACATACGCATACGCACGAAGTCGAACTGACAAAGCATATTAACCGCAAATGAAATAAAAACCTAAATCATATAGACATCATGTTTCCTATACCATAAGTCACTGTGAAGTTTAGAACGAGAGAAAGATTGAACTATGAAACAGTTGGGTACAAGTACTAACCCTAATTGGATTGTACCCCTTATGGGCTACCCCACTACAGCCTACACAGATGTATAAGCTATAATGTTCTGACACACCCCCATAGGCAAAGTGGGGGAGAACAAGTGGTCACAAGACCAGTCAAGCAAAGCAAAGCAAGCTCAGGGTGGATCACAAAGTCACCACACAGTCCGAGCACAAGAGCAAGGCCACAAGGCCAGTTCACATGCAAGATCATATATATAAAGGTAAACAAGCCAGTGCAGGTATAGACAGAGTACAGTACAAACAAGATCAAGAAGTGAGCAAGTGAGGCCAGGTAGGCACAAGACCTAGCAAAGTACAGAAGCGCTAATGATCACAAGGCGGAAGGGCCTTGGTGAAGATATCAGCAGTGTTGGCCTCAGAGGCCACGTAGGTGAGGCGGAGCTGACCACGCTGCTGCAGCTCACGAGCCAGGAAGTAGCGGAGAGCAATGTGCTTCGTTCTGTGCTCCAGTCTGTGCTCCCGACACAAGGCCAGCATGGCCTTGTTGTCTACGTACAGAACTGGAGGAGAACGAGGCGGCTCTCCTAGGTCAGTGAGCATGTAGGTGAGCCAGCGTAGCTCCTGTGCAGCCATGGCCCCTGCGTAGATCTCAGCCTCAAAGCTGGAGCCGAGAACAGAAGACGAGCGGGTAGACCGCCACGAAACAGAGCCGGAGCCAAGGCTGAAGGTGTAACCCTGTGACGACCGCTGCAGAGCCTGATCGTCAGCCCAAGAAGCGTCAGCGTAACCTGTGAGGACCACTCGACGTCGCCCTCCAAGCACTAGCCCCATGCCCGACGTACTGCACACGTAGCGCAACACCCTCTTCGCTGCAGCCATGTGCTCTGGCCGGTGTCTCCCAGGAGCAACATAGCGTGCCAAGATGCTAAGAGGGTATGCAAGGTCAGGTCGTGTGCAGGTCATCAGGTACATGAGGCAGCCAACAAGCTCTGGGTACGGGCCACTCGGCTCTACGGACTCATCCGAAGGCAGAGCTGAGCGCGAGTGGCGAGTAGACAGAGGAGTGGCCTGAGGCGAGGAGTACGTGAAGTCGAAGCGCTGAAGGACCTGCTGCACCATGTGTGACTGAGTCAGGGTAATGGTGCGCTGTGCTCTGTCCCGGGTGATCTGCAAGCCAAGGTAGCTGCGCAGTTCACCCACGTCTGTGCACGTGTGTCTCTTATGCAGCTCGGACTTCACGTGGGCGAGTCCAGCAGTGTGAGCAGTGGCAAAGACCAAGTCGTCGACGTACACGAGGATGTAAAACGGCTGCAAAGAGGTGTCAGTGCGCAGAAACAGCGACGGGTCGGATGTAGAAGGAGCAAACCCAAGAGCCGCAAGTGTAGTCCTCAGTGTATCGTGCCACTCACGGGGCGCCTGGCGGAGACCGTAGACTGGCCGCCGGAGGCTCCACTGGGTACTTGGAGGAAACGACCCAGTGAAGCCAGGTGGGCGACGCAGCCAGATCTCCTCGTGCAGGCTGCCCTGCAGGAAAGCTGTGCTGAAGTCAAGAGAGTGAAGCTCGTAGTCGCGCTGAGTGGCTATGTGCAGCAGCACCCGAAGAGTGGTCATCTTCGGGGTGGGAGAGAAGGTCTGGAATTAGTCAACTCCCTGCCGCTGACTGAAGCCTCGAGCCACGTAATGCGCCTTGAAGACAGGCGGAGAACCCGGGGGCCGCTTCACCCTGAAAATCCACATGCCACTGACGATGTTCGGCCGAGGTGGGGAAACCTCGTCGACATAGGTGCCGTGGACTTCCAGGAAGCCATCTCTGCGTCCATGGCTGACTGCCACTGTGACGAGTAGGGACCCTCAATCGCCTCAGGAGTACGATCGAGGAGTCGGGATGTCTGGTGCATCCGGGTCTCCCTCAAGGGCAATCAGCGTGGACACGAGATGGGGCAAAGCAGCAGCAAAGCACTGGAACTCCTCCTGCCTGTCCTCAAAGACGTCCGTGCTAAGAGCACGCTCACCCCCGACGGACGGAGGACAGACAGACTCAGACTCAGCAACGAGACTGGTAGTGTAGTCTAGACGACAGCGAGCAGCGAAGTCGACAAGCTCAGCAACTAGGGCAGACGCAGCAGTGGACTCAAAGGAAGGGTCACGGACAACAGTAGCAAGGAGACGCGTGACCGAAGGACTAGCAGCACGAAGGGAGTCAGACTCCGGGTCTGCAAGAGTAGGAAGAGAGGACTCTGGAGGAGACGGCAACGGGACACGCAGGGGAGCAGTGGAAGGACGCAGCGCCATCTGGTGTGTGCCGGGGACCGCAGGAGAACGCGGACGCGTAGTACGACCACTAGTGCGAGCACCACAAACAGGCGACGCAGGACGAGACGCGGGCGCACGACGCTCAGCAAGACCTCCAGTAGGACCAGTGTAGGGAGAAGGAGCAGGTAGAGGGGAGGCGGGCTGTAACTGTGACTGCGACTGGACAGGCTGTGGACACTCTAAGGAAGGAGCAGGACCAGGAGAGGGAGGGAGACCAAGAACCTGCTCCAGGAGCGGAACGAAGTACGGCCTCGGCCGCTCAGCGCCTCCAGAGCCAGCAAGGACGGCACCAGTACCCCCAGCGGCAGTAGCAGCGCCAGCAGTACCTCCAGCTCCAACAACGCCAACTCCAGCACCCGCAGAAGCACCAGCGCCAGCAGCACCGCCAGCGCCAACACCCCCAGGAGATCCAGCTCGAGTAGCACCAACTCTAGTAGGACCGTCAGCTCCAGCAGCCTCAGCAGCACCCCCAGACGCACCAGCGCCAGTAGAAACACTAGCGCCAACACCCCCAGCAGCTCCAGCTCAAGCAGCACTAGTACCGCCAGTAGCTCCAGCAGGACCAACTCCAGTAGCCCCAGCAGCACCCCCAGTCTCAGCAGCACGTCTCCAGCGGCGGGCAAACCACTCGCGCAGCTCCAGTGGAGAGAGTGGCTCCCGCCTTGACGAAGCACCGCCGGCAGCCACACGAGCAGACCCAGCGCCCCCAGGCTCGGCACCCCCAGGCTCCGCACCTCTAGGCTTCGCACCCCCAGGCTCCGCACCCCCAAACCCAGAACCCCCAGGCTCAGCACCCCCAGACTCAGCACCCCCAGACTCCGCACCCCCAGAGTCAGCACCCCCAATCTCAGCACCCCTAGACCCGGCACCCGCAGGCTCAGCACCTCTAGCAGCACCAGAGTCAACAGCTACCTCGACAGGCTCGACTGCGTCTACCTGGGACACTCCTGACGGGGCAGGACCATGAGGGGGGAGGGGGTCTACCGGGGGAGGACCTGGTGCAAGGAAGAGCGGCGGCGGGGGGAGGGGCGCAGCGCGGTAGGGGAAGAGACGGTACTAAGGCACCGACTCGTCAAAGGTGACGTCCTGGGAGGACAGAACACGGCGCGAGGTGGGGTGGTAAAACTGCCACCCAGGCGCGTCAGGGGGGAAGCCAAGGAAGACGCAAGGAACAGCACGGGGGGAGAGCTTGTCCGCAGACAAGTCGCGGACAAACGCCCGAGATCCCCTGACCTAAAACGCAGACGCATCTCCAACCTTCCCGGTCCACCGCAAGGCGGGGGAGGTCTCTGGCAAGGAGTCCCGGGGCTGAAGGTTGAGCTGATGCGCGGCTTACTGAACCGCAAATGGCCACAGAAAATGGGGCGCAGCCGCATGCATCATGGACGTACGAGCGACGTCCATGACCATGCCAATGCGGCGCTCAGCAATCCCATTTTGCTGTGGAGAGGCTGGAAGCGTGAAGGTCTGGCGGATGCCCTGTGCACGACAGAAGGCTCCCAGACGGGCAGAGGAAAACTCCCCACCTCTATCCGAGTGCAGACGCAGAACAGGAAAGTCCG